GGTATGAAACGACTTAAAGTTCAACTGAAAAAACTTCGAAATGATACGAATACCAACATAAATAGTTCATGTCCAAATCAAACTCAAACAGCAGCTAGTAATAGTCCAAACAACCTTAATGGAAATTCGCCTACAACATCAAAAAAATCTTCATATTAAATAAGCCAAATGTTTAAAAAAAATAGATATAGTATTCTCATATACTTCAGATTTATATCTTTTTACATCATCGTCTACCATTGAGACGCATTATTTTTGGCTCCTATTTATAATACATATATACTCTTTTCCTATCCGAGTTTTTTTCTTCTTCTCTTTATTATTTCTTTTTTGTGTCTTTTGTCTTGTATTTTGCATCGTTCATTTATTTGTTTTTGTTAAATTATTCCCTGTCATTACGTTGATTAAGAAAAGGTATATTATCAGTTTTTTATTTGCTGTATAACTTTCTTTTTTTTTCTTGTTTACAGTTGTTCTGCATGGTTGTATCAGTGTGTTGTGGGTTTTTTCCATTTCCTATTTTTGCAATGTTATCTTATAGATTTCTACTTCTTCTTCTTCTTCTTCTTCTTCTTCTTATCGCTATTAGCAGTTCTAAACACCTATCCAACTATCTTTCATTATATTCATTTCTATCTCCTAACTTCTCTTTTGGAACGAAACTATACGTTTAACTGTCTTGGTTTTTTCGTTTTTTTTTCTTTTTTTTTCTGTGTTCGTTTTTAACTGTGTGCGTGTGTATGTCTGTTCGTTGTTTGTTTATCATTGTCGTTGTTGTTGTTCTACATTGAATCAACACGACTCTCATCACTACAAACAAATAAAACAAAAAAAAACAGAAATTTTTATCGTATTTATATGTTCAGTACATTTAATAAGTCAGTAAAGATGAAAGTTTACAGAAAACATTAAAACGATATATCCTTTTTTTCATTAACTGTACTAGGTTGATCATATACAGATTGAGCACGTGACCAATTAAATGGTATAAGAGAAATATATAAATCAACTAGACATTGTTTAACTGATGTAGCCATATGTGAAACAGTTAAAACTGGTTTAATTTGAGAGTATGTATCATAATCACAATCATCAATACAATACTGAGGTTCAGTCATTGTTCTTTTCATACATTTTATTCTAAATTGATTTATCAGTAAGTTAGACTATATTGAACAAATATTACTTACGCAAAATAAATAAAATACATTAAACCAAAAGTAGCAAGGACAGATCCAAGCATAAGACCGATGATTAGAAATATTTGTTTAGCTTGTATACCTTGACTTACGGCATTCGTAGCAACAATCCAATTTGGAAATATTACAAGAAATACAATACATATATTTAAGAACATTTTTTTTTTCTTATTAATGACTACTTATGAGATATTCATGTTGTTATATAGATACATATTTACCTTTTGGCGAATAACATCATCAAAAGGACATATGTCGATTCTATCATAAGAATATTTTAAGTAATTAATTATTTATATATATGATATTTTTGGACAAAACTTTAAATGATTTCTATTGATGAAGAAAAAAAAGAACATACGCAATCAAGATATAATCAATATATGAATTGTAAATGAATCATTGTATGAATGTGCTTTGCGTACGAAATCATGATGAATAATCGAATTTTATTTATATAACTACATCGATTTAAAGTTTAAATTTGAAAATGTTTGATTATTATTATAATAAACAGTGCTATAAAGATTCTATCTTTTTATTACATCATTAATCATTTAAATAGAGAGATAGATGAAGAAAACCTTGATTTATTTCGTATGTTAAGTAATCTTTATTTATAATTTAATTGAATAAATTAAAATGATCGATGAGGTCGCTATTTGACATTAAAGTATATAGACATTTTCTCTACAGAGTTTATGTGATAAGATTCGATTGGATGATTTTTCCTCACGTGTTATCATCATTTCGTTTACAGTACTATTTGATGTTGTCGCGTTATTGAAATAAACACCTATGACTAGTTTGTTTAATATAAAAAAATAAACCTAAGTCAATATTACAGCTAAGAAAATAGTTTGCTGTAATTTTTAGCATTATCATGCCTAAAGATAAAATTTTATTTGAACGAAAACAAATTATTATTAAAGAACGTTCACCACAAAGTCAAGCACAAGCAGCACCACTTGATGAAGTTACTGGAACAATAACTATTATAGAAAATGAACGTGGAAAATTTTTTCGTTATGTACCATTAGGTCTTGAAGATGTTATGACTGATGATTGGGCATTGATTAATGGTGTTCATTCAATAACTTCAAATAAAAATGATGGAGGTCTGTTTTTATATTAAGAGATAATACATATATTATTATTTATATTTTATTAGATTCTACAACACAATCATCTAGTCCATTATTAAAATTTCGATTTAATTTTAATTTACATGATTTACGAAGTGTTCGTCGACATCATATGCTACATGGTATTGCTCATATGGTATTTATACTTAAAGATGGTACAACATTACCAGCATTTTATTTTAATCTTGGTGGAAGTAAAGAACTTTTACAAAAACTTGCACAATGTTTACGACTTGAAAAGTTAGATAAAAGATAATAGTTTTATTAAGTAAAAATAACTTTTTTTTTTGTATTAAAGGTCAACACAAGATGCTCGTTTATATATTGTAAAAGATGATCTTCCAAAAAGAAATCTCTCACAATCTCTTAGTGCTTTTGATCAACTCAATTTATTTGATAGTTCAAATGATGTTATGAGACGACTTGTAAATCGATATTCTTCTGTTTTTTTTTTGATAAGAACAACTTTTTAATTTTCTTTTAGAGAGGAAATGATCCTCATCGAACAACTGTTGAACGTTTTTCTAAAGTAACACAATTCGTTAAAGATACATTTCTTGGTCAAAATGAATTTATAACAACAAATGAAAATTCTAATGGACTTTTAGCACCTGATGTAACAGCTCTTACAAATTCGATTAATGATGAAATAAGAGAATCAAATAATGATGGTTTTGAAGTTATCTATAAGGTGAATATTAATTAAAATATCTTTTTCTTTTTTCTTATAAAATAGTTTTATAATCTAGGTGGATTTTAAAAAATTACCAGATGTTGCACGTGGACAACCAGTGACAACAAAAGAATGGCAAACATTTTTTGATAAAGATGGACGTGCTATTGATGTTGATAAATTAAAAGAACGAATATATCGTGGAGGTTTAGAATCAAATATATTAAGACGTGAAGTATGGAAATTTTTATTAAATTTTTATCCATGGTCATCAACACGTGATGAACGTATTGAAATACTTAAAAAACGAAAATCAGAATATTTTGATATGAAAGTTCAATGGAAATCGATGAATGAACAACAAAAACAAAGAAATGCATCATTTCGTGATCGAGAATCACTTATAGGTAAACAAAAAGAATGAATTAGTTAATTGAGATATATCAAACCGCGAATATTTTAGATAAAGATGTAGCACGTACCGATCGAACACATGAATTCTATCAAGATGATAATAGTGTTCATCTTCAAATTCTTCGTGATGTTTTAATGACTTATAATATGTATAACTTTGATCTCGGTATGTAAGATGAAAATAAATATTTTCGGAAAATTTTATTTATTGATATATTTTAGGTTATGTACAAGGTATGAATGATTTATTAAGTCCAATTTTAATCGTTATGGAAGAAGAAGTTGATGCATTTTGGTGTTTTGTTGGATTAATGTCTCGTATGGAAAAAAATTTTCATCTTGATCAAGCACATATTAAATCTCAACTTAGTAATCTTCATACACTTCTTCAATTTATTGATGCCGAACTTGCAAATTACTTAAGTAAAATAAATTTTATTCTTTAAATTTATTTTTTATTTTGAAAATAGCTGAAAATAATTCCAGTAATATGTATTTCTTCTTTCGATGGATGTTAATTTGTTTTAAACGTGAATTTTCATTTGATGATGTTATGTATTTATGGGAGGTAAATAATTCAATATATTATTTTTTCTGTTTTCTATTTTAAAATGTTCTAGGTCATATGGACGGATTATTTATGTCAAAATTTTGACCTACTTGTTTGTTTAGCAATATTACTGTCACAAAAAACAGTAATTATGGAATCAAAATTTGGTTGTAATGAAATTCTTAAAGTAAGAGCTCGATTTAAATTACTATCAGTAACATTTTTTGCATGTAATTATCGTTAACAAAATTTTGCTTGCGCCGTTCTTTTATTGCATATAATCAATTGAGTATATATGTATATCTATTAGCATATGAATCAACTTTCATGCAAAATTCCATTGAAAACAGCATTAAAACAAGCTGAGAGTTTTTATGTAATTTTAAAACAATATCATCAATCGAAATCGGGCTTACCACCATCAATATCTGAGCTGATGTTTCCGAATGAAAACGAAACAACAATATCAAAAACAGAAGAACTGAATCTTCAATCGAAATTAAACGAAATTAAAAATACGGCTATTAGACATCTAGAACAAATAACAAGGCTTTAAATAAATTGTGCTCTTTTTTTTTATTTTATCTATATTAAATTTCCATACACAGTTGGTTCTAATAGAGTTTAAAGAAAAGAAAACTATTCAATAGCAATTACGTGATTTTTTTATTTGAGTCTGAAGATCTTTTTATTCTAGATACATTTTTGTTTTGTGTGATTCAACAATACGAGAGTTGATTTACATATTGGTGAGCAAGAGATACATATATAGAGGACTAAAATATCTTTTCGTCTCGATCACAATAGATAGATATAAGCGTATCTTGTATATCCGATCATTTTTTCATATCTATTTGTTTAGTTTTTTAATGATTTATCCTGTAATCTCGATTTGGATACATGTCTTCTATCAGCTGAAAAACTTTATATACAATTAGCTACGCATCGTGATATACCGACATCAATTGCAAAACTTCTTGGTCTTCCAACAGGTCCTAATCAACAACTTATATCTACTGGAGATAATATAACATATCCACGTAAAATTTATACTAAACAACCACATGGTACAATGAATTTAGATAATTCATATTTTCGTCAAGAATCTGAACCATCATTACTTATTGATCACGATGAAACAACATCTGCTATACTTGATGAACTTCTTAATATGACACCATTGATGGAATTATGAAAATCGAACAAAAGCTTTTTTTTCTAACTCTTTTTTCTTTGTATAAAAAAATAACTTATTTTTTTTTCTACAAACTCTCCAGAGATTTCTTTTTTCTCACAATCGTTTTTTCTGCTATTGCAATTAAAAACAGATGTAACATATTGGTTAATACAATGTTTATTTTAGATTATATATTTTCTTTTTCTAGTGAAATTTTGTCATATAAAATTCTAATGAATCAAAGTGTATCATTTAAAATTGTCTTACTTGGTGAGGGTAGTGTTGGTAAGGTAAGACAGACTTAAATTTAAAAAAAACAAAAAAAATTCTTTTCTTTTATTATTTTAATTAGACGTCAATTGTCTTACGTTATTCAGAAAATTTATTTAATGATAAACATATTGAAACTCAACAAGTAAATTTATTAAATGAATATTATAGAAGTTTAATAGTTATATGTTTAGGCATCGTTTAAAACTAAGAGATTAATTCTAGATGGTCGTCGTATTGAACTAGCTATTTGGGTATGTAAATATTATTTTTATAGATCTTTTACTCATAAGAAAATGACTGTTTTTTAGGATACGGCAGGACAAGAACGTTTTCAGGCACTTGGGTATTATAATAATTTTTGTTAAAGAACATGTTTTTTTTAATAACATTTTTTATTATTTAGACCCTTATATTATCGTGAAGCCAATGGTGCTATATTAGTTTTTGATATAACAGATGAAGATTCATTTAATCGAGTATAATAATAAACGAAAATTAATTCATTAAGATTATTATTGATTTCTAGGTTAAAAATTGGGTTAAAGAATTACGAAGAATGTTAGGCAATGATGTTGCATTATGTATCGTGGCAAATAAAATTGATCTTGAAAGAGATCGTCGTGTACCTATGGAAACAGCTGAAGAATATGCGAGATCAGTTAATGCTAAACTTTATCATACATCAGCGAAATTAAGCAAAGGAATCGAAGAACTTTTCAATGATTTGGCTCATCGTACGTAATTCAATGAGAAAGAAAACATTTTTCTATTTCATATTTTTAGGTATGCTTGAAACAGCATCATCAACGACGAGTGGTCCAAATACCGGTGGAACTGGTCGTCAACGTGGTATACCTATTCTATCACCATCGGCAACAGAGGCGATCAATCAAAAGAAAAGTGGCGGTTGTTGTTAATGACTTTCTTGTTCCAGTTTGTTTATTTTTTTGTGACAAATTAACCAAATGAAAAACACAACATTGTCTTTTTTTTTATTTTTATTTTTCATGCTATCCTATTATTACAAAAATTTATGTTCATGTTTAAAGTATACTCTATGTTGCAATTTTGTTTCTATTATTCAATCGACTTATGATGACAGTCAGTTATAATATTTCATTAAATTTAAATTTCCAATGTAATTATCTGAAAAATATCCAGACGTATGCTTTTCTATTGTGCTAGTTACTTGTAATAAATACAATAAAAGTTATACTTTATCATATTAATAAAATAATTCATTGTCAACAATAAAGAACAAAATTGTCAAATTCTTTGTTTTTTAAAGAAACAATAAATAGTTCTACAAAAAATCTTTGATTTAACGATGATTTGATAATCATATTTTCTTTTGATCTTGATAAGTAACATTTGGTTACTGTTATAACTAATGTCAAGGTAGCTGTCAATTTCAATGATATCTTCTATGAATTTGAAATTTCATTGATCTTATGACGATCAAATAGTTTGTTGATATTGTTTTTATTTATTCAATTGATTTTAAATCTATCAGATACAATAGATCTAAGACATATGATAAGCTTAGTAAAGAAAAGAGAATCTTTCTTCATAATTATTTTAACTTTCATTTCGATGATGTAAGAATCGTTGTTCTCAGCAACAAATCTCATTAGAGATTGATTATGACATAGATATCTTAATATAGAATATCTTATCCTGTATATTATTTGACCTTTATATCGGTGTATGTGAGCTCAACCATGTGTATAGAGAAGCTTTATATGAACGAGGTGACGATAGCTAAACAAAACGTCTTCAGTCGTTGACGTTAAATGATCAATATATAAACATACATATATATAGACATATATATATACGTGTATATATGTATGAGGAAGACGATGAATCGGATTTTTCTTTTCTTTATATTCAAACATCAAATAGTTCACCTACTTCTATAGCTTTCTTCTTTTTCTTTTTCCTTCTGTTCCGTCTTCTCCTTCTTTTTTTCCTATGATAATGTCTCTGCTTGATCGTCA